CCAGCCACTGCCCGCCACCCGCTGCCCACCGCCCGGGCGTTGCACCCACCTCGCTCTCGCTGCCAGCCCCAGAGCTTGGCCCAGAGAGGGGACACGTTTGGGGCACCCTCCGTGCCCCAGTCCCCACCACATGCCTTGCGCGTGGTCCCTGCAGAGCGCGAGGGACCGTGGAAATACCAGCTGGTCTGCTCTTTCCCAAGGCAACCTGCAAAGACCCTGTGGTACGACCGCCCGCGGTACGTCTACCTGGAGTTCTGCGTCGAGGACAGCACGGATGTCAAGGTTGTCATTGAGGACCAGCGGCTGGGGGTGCCGCTGCCCTGCTGACCGGGAACGCAGCCCAGAACCAGGGGTGGTTCAGAGGACAGGGATGACCCCATAAGAGCTGGGCACGCTTGGCCTCAACCCTCCCTTAAACCAGGCTGTTACGGTGTTTTGGCAGTTGCAAAAATGCAGACGGTGTGGAGTTCTACAACGAGATCAACCTGTATGCCAGGGTCAACTCCAAGGTGAGGCTTCTTCCCAGCAAACTGTTCTCCGACAGCCTGCATCAGGCTCAGAGTTAAACCCAACCTGCACACTCTTGAGCAACGCCGCTTAGTGTTGAATCCTGCCCGTTTCCCAAGAGCCTGAGTGGGGCGAACACAAGCCTGGGAGCCCTGATCCCGGGCCTGGCACTTGCAGTGCTGCGTTGAGCCAGAAACAACTTGTCCCCCGGGATCTGTGTGTCTCACAGCCTGCATGCGGCTGAGCTTTAGTGCTGTGTGTCTGCAGTGGATTACAGAGAGGAGTCCAGCAGACACGGAGGTGAGGCACTCCTGATCTCTTGGCAGGACTCACGGGAGAAGCGCTCTGACCGCTCTATCACATGTTTTATGAGGAAGTGGAAGGAGAAGGTGTCCTGGCCCCGTATCACGAAGGAGAACATCAAGGTATGTGTGGTGCCCAGCAGCCAGGACCAGCGCCAGCATGCGTGCTGTCCCCATGCAGCACCTCGCGGCTCCTGGGGACCAACCTGTGCCAGGACAGACACCGAGGGCCCCATGTGGGCATCCTAACACAGAACTCCCAAAAAGCCCAATGTCACAGTCACCGCCAGTCCATGGACCTCTGCCCTCCATGAAAGATGTGGCACCCCTTTCCCTCGATGCAGGCAGGGTCAGGACCAGCAACCCGCAGGCGAAGGGACACGCTCCCCTTCCTGCCCTTCCCAGCCTGACCCCGTCCCCCCGCCCGTGCAGGAGCAGCCCCACAGAGCACCCCCTGGGCTGGGAGGACAGGGCTGCTGGGTCCCTTCTGTGCTGCTCCCTCACTCAGGGAATGCTCTCTGCCCACAGCCGGCCTGGCTCTCTGTGGACTTTGACAACTGGCGAGACTGGGAAGGGGATGAGGAGGTGGAGAGGGCCATGGTGGAGCAGTACGCAGAGGTGAGCTGGGCTGCAGGCCTCGGGGTCCTGGGGCACGTGTGGGATGGCTGCTCGGGACTTGGGGAAGTCAGGCATTTGGAGTTCCCACAGCTGTTTCTTTCCCGTCCAGCTCCTGGAG